TTAGAAGAAGATTAGAAGTTTGATTGAACTCCTTCGAGCTGGATTAGAAGAAGATTAGAAGTTTGATTGCAGAAAAAAAATTCCTGCTCTGATACCATGTTGAGGAGTAAAAAACAGCAGGGTTCTGAAGAAAAAATCAGTCTTCGTGTTTATTACTTTTCAATTACTCATTTGTACAATGTTTTATACTTACATGATAACTCAACATAATTAACTATGGTTAACATCTAACCAAGGTTTATCTCAATAGTAAACTGACTTCCAACTAATTCTAAACTACTGCAGAATTACACATAACAGAATTACTGTAGCACATCACCATCTTAACAGATTCTTTGGCTAGGTTTCCTATCGAGTGTCCACCGTCCATGTATGTTGTGACATATCGCAACTAGAGTAAGCCGCATCATAGCATTCATCAGTTTCACATCCGACCGGTTCATAACTAGATGATTTAGAAGGATCGAATATGGGTATAGTTTGCTCGTAACAATCGATGCAATCGAGGCACTGCAGCCACATGAGACTGCTTCCAGTGTCAGGAATTGCATAGGTGTCTAATGGAGGAGCGCCAATGCTATATCTCATGCCAAAGTCTTCAGATATTTCCTCCACAGGAGACATTGGGTATTTCGTGGAATTTGAAGAATTCTTTGATCTGAGCCAACTAAAATAAGCAGTGCGGGCCGAAGATTTACGTAAAGAAGCTCTCAAAAGATCAAGAGGAGAGGCATTTGGGTCATAAAAAGGTGATTCTGGTGAGCTACGATGAATAAGAGGAGCAATAAAACCTCTATCTGCCTTTTGACAATAATCGAAATCATAGAAATAAATATTAGTGAGAATATCATCGATAACGCCATGGCTAAAAGCACAAAAGATTTCAATTTGTACGTCTGAATCGGAGAAACTGATCACTATTTAAACAAGTGTGTACTGAATTTGATATTAAAGAATAAATTGAAAACAAAACAAAAAAACATATAATATCATGCATACTTAAATTAGATAGTAATAGCAGATAGCTAACTAATTACAGTCGATGGTTATATCCTTATTGAACATGGTCATTGAATATATAAATCAGAAAATTGATTTAGCTAGATCTCATGAAACAACGAACGTAATAAAGACGTGTACGAGAGGAAACCAATGCCCCAAAATTGTTCAGCATTAACTGACCGTAACAGTAGAAGTTTTAAAATTCTTATTTCATGTCAAATTATTCTTCCTAAATTGAGAGAATCGAAATCCCTTGAATATACAGTGTTAAATACGACAGTTTTGCATAATTCCCCTTTGTAATTAGCTTGATGATGGTATAAATTCCAATAAGGGTTGTTGAAATGGATAAGTTGACCATTATTGACTAGACTAAGATCCTCACTAAATCAGAGCTGAGGTCCAACTTTTAAAGGCTTGTGATTAATGACTATAAAATAAGAAAATATGTACTAAACATATAGATCTGAACCATAAATAAAATAAAAAGCACATGTGTCATACAATCTTTAAAAGTTCAAATGAGCTCAAATCATGAGAGGGTAAGGCTTTATCTAAGCTCACACCTCTCTTGACACCTTGGTGAATAGTTAATTAACTATTACAACTGCAAATTCACCCACATCTATAGACTTTGGTTCACGCCCTAACATGTTTTAGAATTTTATTTAAATTATAAAAACAATAATTGATAAAAATTTAAAACATTCATAAACAAGAACAATTTTAGAATAAGATAAAAGTAGATTAACTAATTAGCATTCTATATATAATTTGTATCTCGATTATTTGTTCATATTATACTACATGAAGTAATGTATCAAAGGACATTGTTATAGGCACAGGCAGTGGGCTTACATGTTAAGAAGGTGGGTGTACAAGCAAAAATGACTTATGTAGTAAAATAAATAAATTAGAAGAGAAATTCTGAGAGGATGCAAATGTAATAATATAATGGAAGAGGGATTCAATAAAGGCAGCAATATGAAGGATATATATATATATATATTGTCTCCCAATTCTGATCACTTGGGTCTTTTACATGCAAGTGCAATATTCGAGTGCTATTTATACAATCTAAAGAACAAATTATTTAATTAAAAAATGATAAATAAGATTTAAATAGAGTTTTTAATATGATAAATCACATCTTCACAAAAGAAAAATCTGGTTTCATTTCCATTAAAATACAACACTGTGTATTATAAATTCTTATTAATGATATTTGTAATACTTGGTTTGATTGATTTTTAATTTTTATTAATTTAAATTTACTTTTACTTTTAATTTTGATAACTATAACTCTAAAGCTTTGAAGTAAAAATATGAAAAAGGTAAACAAATTTTTTTTTTTTTTTTTTTTATTACAATTATATCTCCACTTAAACGGGAAGATGGGAACTAAAGACAAAAGTAGTGAAAGGTGGAAAACACTTCTCCAAATTTTACTTTAACCATTTAAAATGGATTGTAAATAGCAGTGTCAGGCAAGTCAAGCCGCTCGCGAGTAGCTTGGGCTCGAGCTACTTGAGTGGCAAGTCGAGCCAAGCTTGAGCTTCCCAATACTCAGTTTGAGTGGCTAGCGAGCTTACTCGAGCTTGATAGGGGATATATGCAAGTTTTACAACTATTAGGGGTATATGTAATTTATCATTTTACCTTCAAAATTATGTCAAAGTGACATTTACATCACATTTCAATTTGTTTCACTGAAACCCTAATCCAATTTCTCTCTGCAACTGCCGCGACTCCGCTCCTCTCCCGAACTCTCCACAGCCACTACGACTCAGATACTCTACCACTCTCCAACCTTAGTTTACTTTCTTTGACTCTTTATACCCTTCTTTCTTCTATTTTGAATCTCGATTATGGAGGTTTCTCTTAGAAAATTTCCTAATTGTGGGCTAACATTAATTATATTTTAATTTAATCGAAATTGGGTAAACGTGTAATCCAAATGAGTTATTCTGATGAGCTCTATGGTATCGTTCTAGGATTCCCAATACGCTTCATTATAATAATCCCGGTTGACAACGCGTGTAGGCTTGGGCTTATAACGAGTGATAGAATTCATATGATTGTTTATTGTTCATTATTAATTATGAATTCAATTTTGGAAAATCTCTTTCACTTTCTTGATCTCTTTCTCTGATGATCCAGTAAATATTCCTCTCTATTTGAATTTCTTTTTAATTTCTCTGAATTAATAGCTGAATTTTGTTTTTTATGATTCATAAAATAATAAAATATGTATTATGATGGAAATGATGGTGGATGGTGTTAGTGACTGGAAGTTTTAATCTTCTGGGGAGCTTTATTTTGGTGCTTTGTGTTGAAACTTCAGAAAGAACTGGAAGGAATAAGGGATAGAATGTATAGGTGGTGGTTTCACAAAAACTTTCAGAACTCACTTTTGTTCCATACTTTCTTTCATTTTGAAAGCATCTCCATATTTGCTTAGGTGATTTGAGCTCGAGCTCAATCTAGAGTTTCGAACTAGGGCTTGGCTTGATTACCTGTGCAGATTGAGCTGGAGCTAGAGTTAGAGCTTGTGTTCGATCTACATAGGTAATCAAGTCAAGCCTGAGTCAAGCTCGAGCCCCCATATTTATGTTGAGCTCGAGCTCGAGCTTAACATCCTAAGTTCGATCAAGTTCGAGCTAAAGCTCCAACTATTTCTACTGGACCAAGCTTGAGCTTCCCAATGTTCAACTCGGTTTGGTTCGATTATACTCTTAGTTGTAAAATAAATTTATTGAAATCCAAAAATCCACAACACACTGGCATATATATAATTGTTCAATTTTCAAATAAACAAGTTGATTCCGTTTTTGTTTCCACTTTTTTCAATATATTTAATATTGTAAGAGAACAAAATATAGAAACATAATTATAAAAAGAACACAGCCTTCAGTCATTGTTTACAAATAACCTCTTTAGTTTTTTTTTTTTTTACTTGATATGATTCTATAAAACCATATGTTCTTTTTAACTATCATTTATTTACTGTTTGGATCATGGATGTCCTCATTTATTTCTGATTCATTAATTGATTTCCAATATGTATCTGTATTTATTTTCATTTTTATTTTTAGTTTAGTTTAGTTCTGGACTTTGTAATAGCATGCAGATAATTAGAAGAAGAGGTGCTCGACGTGTGGTGATCTTTTTTTATGTTTTTTCTTTTCTAGTTCTCTAAATTTTAATTACTAGGTAGAACTCCAGGGGCCGAAACATCAATTTTCTAAAATAAACATAATTGAAATATTGGTTCACGTCTGTCTTAAAATTTTTTAGACACTAAATGGGTTTTAGATAATCAATCTTAAATAATCAATTCTAATGTCCATCTCTTTTCCTTTTGTAGTATCAATCAATTACAATTTACAATTTATAAATTTAGACATGAAGTCTATATTCCTGGCTCTATGCATTGTCTTCAATTTAATGATCATGGGGTCATGGCATTACGCGTATAAAAACCTTTATTCTGAATTATATAATTTCTTGAAAATTTGTTCTCTAAATTGAGATTTTTTTTTCTTAAAGAAAGGGTTGCTAATGAATAAACACCGTTTATAAGCATTAGTATAATGATGTGAGTACTAATCTGATATTTAAAAAAAAAAAAAAATGGAGACAAATGATAATAAAACGCAATTAAACCACCACTGGTCTCTCAAGAGGAGGATCTAACATGATCTCCCAAATCTGAGTTTCATTAAGAGTAAAAGAGCAAAAGAATGATCTAACATGATTTTCCGAATTCAAATCTCTACGGTCACTAATGGAGGTGGTCACTGGAGTTTGTACCCGATCGATATTATATATATATATATGTGTGTGTTGTGTGTGTATGTTTATTGATTAATAGATATCTCAATCCTTTGAGATTATTGGAAGTAATTAACTAAACACATGAATCTAGAAGGAAAATATTCCAATTCTAAGACACATCACATCACATCATATCACATCCTATAGGATACATGGGACAGTCAAATTTGGTAATTGAAAGAAACCCGAGCCTGCATCACTTGTATCCCGACATTAATATCCCTTTGTTGAAAGATTCCTAAACGCGAAAGCCCATCTTTAACACCTCTCTTTATGGCTAAGCAAAATTGCCCTAAATTATTATCAATCCAAGCGTTCTTGTCTTTTAGAGGAAAAGTTGCTTCGGTGCCCCTAAACCGGAATTCTATCTCCGGCAGAATATTAGTAGTACCTCGATACTTGTTATCATAACACAATTCCCATTTTTCACCACTAACATCTCTTTTCTCTACCATATCAGTTGGCATAAAATCCTTTACTTTCCGTATCAACGCATCAAAGGCCAAAGGATTAAGTTCGGTAAACGTGGCTCCAGTATCAATAATCAGACCACCAGATTCACCCTCCACATATCCAAATACTGACTCCGGTATATCTACCTTTTCACCCTCAACATAAATGCCGTCTACGTCTTTAAAAATGTACAAACCTTTACTATTAGGAGCCAATGCGGTGGTGAGATGCCCAGTAATGGGCGAAAAACCAATCCGGACTTCGCTACGGCCTATGCTAGCATTAGAAAAGAAGATGTAAGAGAAGTCAATGAAACTTGACTGTCCTATAAGTGAAGAACTGTGATTACTTAGACCCATAATTCCTGGAACTTTGAAACCGAATGTATCTTTATTATCTTGACCACATCCGAAAGTCATGTTAAACATGGGATATTTTCGGTTAAGGCCGTCTTGAAACGTTAATGTTTCCATGGCTATATGTCCTCTACTGCTGGTACCGATATCCTGGAATGATAGATTGTAAGAACAATCGGGATCTAAGCCATTGCAATTAGTACTGTAAGCCGTGTTCTTGCAATTATCTGACGAACATTTTATTGATTCGTAGGTTGATGATTTTTTAGGATCAAAAGTTGGTGAGGTTTGGGTGTAACAATTAGTGCAACCGCATTGCAACCAAATGAGGTTGCTTGCAGTGTCAGGAATTGCGAAGGTCTCCAATGGCGGGGTGCCGATGCCGAATTTCATTAAATTGTGTTTGCCCATTTGAACAACCGGGGATAATGGATATAATAGATCATCTTCCGAGCTTGAAAAAGTTTTGGCATTTGGGTTATGGAAAGGGGATTCTGGGGTTCCTTGGAGTGGGAGAGGTAAACAAAAGGCAAAACATACCAAAATCACCCTTGAAAATGAGAATACCATTGCGGAAGCCATGTTTGAACCCAGGATGGTTTCATTTTGCTACTTGGACGTTTTACGTAAAGAGGGATGGTTCACTATTTTTGGCAAGTGACTCAGAAATCGGTTTTCAGTTGATGTTTTTCCCTGAAACTTAATCGATTCCAAAACCGAATGCGCTTTGTATAGTTAATAATAGTTAGATATTTTTAGTGGTTGAGATTTATTCAAATTTAAAAGATTTAATATTAGAGTCTTAATTGAATTATATTGAATTATACTCCGAAACAGCCAAACAAGTTAGGCTCGTTGCCAAGAAACGATTTTTGTCATTTTTTAGCCTTTTGGAATCATTTAGACGGGTTTTTGGACTTTTTATCATTTTTAGGGGTGTTTTTGCAAGTGTTTGAAGTTTTGGGACTTTTAAGAATTTTGCCGCTAATTGTTTAATTTTCCTTTTTTTTATTTCTTGGATTTTCGATTAGGGTTTTTTTAGAGAGTAAACAACTTTTTCCCATCCAAATAATGGTTTAATGACACTTTCTCACCCACCGACTTTTAAAATACTATATTACTATCCAAATTTATATTCCGTTTCCAATTCCAACATCGTTACAACCCCAAGCTACCACCATTCTCTTTCCCAATCATCACTAACCAAAACCCCTCAAACTCTACTCCTGCCAACCCACCAATCATCGATAATAGAGCGATTAAGGTTTACGTAGCTGCCCCTCTCAAGTCAAATTTCGATCAATCTCAATCACCAAAAATAATCAATCTTCTATCACAAAAGGATTTGTCGGCCTCCCCTCTTCAAAAGCCCTAACAGTATAGACTGAGTTTATTCTTTGTTCACTGTCAGAATATAAATTTGGATAATAAAGTGGTATTTTAAAAATTTGTAAGTGAGAAAGTGTCATTAAAACATTATTTGGGTGGGAAATGGCTGTTAACTCCTTTTTAGGGGAACTATTTAAAGTTTGGTTCAACAGTAACATGAGAGTTTTTGATGAATTTTATATGAAGGAAATATTGAGAACCTTTTATGGTTAATATTTCAATTAGATGAATTTTATATGAATGAAATATTAAGAACCTTTTATGGTTAATATTTCAATTAATCCAGTATCTGATTCTTGATACAATTTTTTTTTTAGATTATAATTCTTGATACAATTCGGTGATAGTTTATCATATAATTTGTTTCTTGAAATTTCGGTTATCCTTTTAATTGCTTCGGCATCATTTTAAAGTGTCCGCTCACACTAATGTATATTGTATGTAATATCATGTGAGAATTTAAACATTCTGCTGAAATTTGTATTCAGTAAACTTTGAAAAACAAAATTTTCTATATAGATAGAAAATATATTTTTTTTAATACAAGACTAGATGCAAAAAACTATGTTTGAATTAATTTTTATATTGATATAAAGAAATAATTAATCATATTTTGGTTGATTAATTAAAAGTAAAATAAACTTTTATATTCCAACTTTGTGTAGTCGGTAACTACATTAATTATAGATTGATGTGGTAAAGAAATCCATCTTTATATAGTTAATGTAATGCTGAAACATCAATAAACTACATATATTAAAACCTTAACTTTGAACGGACAATATTATTAAGAAAATCAATTTATTGGATATTTATCTAGATTTCAACTGCGAAATGAAAATTTCATCTTTTTCAGAGAGAAAAAGTTCGAAACTATTTCTTCCTTAAAATTAAGCATTTCATACTTTCGATGAAGTTTATTATTCCTATAGGGTCTCTCTCCAGGATTTAAATGATAAAACAATAGTTCTCTGTTGATGCTCGATTTTGACACCAACTAATCACACATGAAAAATACTGAACTGACTCAGAAGACACATGTGTATATGGGGATATTGGGTTGAATAAGAGATGAAGAACAATGTTTAAAGTTGTTCGGATGCTTAAATAAGCGAATCCTACGTCCACTTGTATTGTATTAATATATGAGATAAGGTCGCTTCGAGCGAGCTGATTTACAGCTTAAAGAATACAAGTGAATACACAAGAGAGAGAGAGAGAGAGAGAGAGAATATATGCTATTTCAAAGAAAAATTAGCTAATTTCACAAACAGGAGAGGAGCCCTCTATTTATAGTGGGATGAATTCGAGTGATTTCCTCGACTTGTGCAGGGAATGGACACGTGGAACGTTTCCAACCTTTCATTACTCTGACGCATATCCACTACACTGGCAGGAGCATGCCACTCACGTCAGCATGCGATGTGGCTGCGTTTGAACGGCTACAGAACCTATCTAAGCTCTGTCCGCCCACGCTGACAAGGCTTGGCGTCAGCCCTACTTTTTCAAGCATAACATTTTCCAAATTAATTTAAGTACAAGCATCAACAACCATGAAATCATGCTTGTAATTCTATCAAAAGCTCTAGAACACTGATGTTATAAGCCCCTATTTACTGTGGATAAATTTAAGCATAAACTTTAACAATAATATATTTCTGTTCTTGTGCATTTTAATCTATGAATGGTGCTAAATAAAAAATTCGATTCTTAAATAAATCGATTTTAGTAATTGTAATGATCGCAACGCAAGTACAAATGTAATCATAATTATTGTATCTCTACGAGTGAGGAAGATTCTATTCATTACTCATATTAATTTAATTTAGCCCTACACTATACAATGTGGATTATGAAGAGTAAAGTTAGGTGTATAAAACAGTAAACTTTGTGATATATAGTGTAAGTCTGACAGAAAGTATACTGTTTTATACACCTAAATTTATGAATTAATTAAAGGAATTTTATCACAACTGATATATACAATAAGTAATGATATTAGGTGTCCATTATGTCTCATGCAATAAAAGTACATTAAATATAATAGGTTAATAGAAATTAGGGTTTTAAGAGATATGATTGGAACTTAAAAATTAGAGTAGACATATTTTTAGAGAAGTCATTTAAGGTAAAAAAAAAAAAAGTATTTTTTACGAAGTTAAAAACCAAAATTTTTGGCTTTTTCTAATTACGTGGAAGTATCACTAATTCTCAATAAAATAGATTCTCAGTTTTTAAGAAGTGGTGAAACTAAACAATCAATAATTATCTAATATAAAAGATTAACTTTTTCTAAGTCTTCATAGATAAAAACAAGCATACCCTTATACCTTATAATACATCGTAACATTAATCATGTTTATTCCCTATTCATATTATTAGTTGAAGTGGATGATTAGAAAATTTCTAGTAAATCATTAATTCATATAGTATTTAAACATATGTTCTTTTTTTTTTGTTGGTGTTCAGGTCAGCTTGTACAAACCTCAACTAATTCTTTGAGGTCTAAAGTTAACGGTCAGATAAACCTTCAATAACTATCCCTTATTAATAGTCGTAGAAATTCGAACTCATGACCTTTTGAATAATACATCCAAGAGTCTCAAGTGAACCATCAAACTATCTAGAGATAGTTAAATTTATATGCATGGGGTGTACTCAATATATCTATGTCTAATCCACGGATGTATTAAATATGATGCCTTGAGACGGATGTAAAGCTAAACAAATAGCTTATGCTCCAATAACTGGGGACAGTGTTGGTTGTAAGAGACGTAAATCCACCATAGAAAGTTGAAGTAGTTTCCAATTTTTCCTATATTAAGCATGTGGTAGGAATTTTGTCGACATGCAAGTTTATATTATAAGGCGTTAGCTGGTAAGTCGGTATTAATAAGTTGAATGGGACTTGGTTATCAACATACTGACGAAAATCAAAATTTCTTTGGTAAACGTAAAACAGAGTTAATAAATTAAGAAAAACTAGGAAAAGAAGAATGAAAAAGAGAGAGAGAGAAGAGGAGACATGTGGGCAGTCCCTCTTTCTCGAGGGAATTGTCTTCAACTTCACCAACATACTCCTTCTCATCGCATATGTGTTCATCATTTGACACTCTGTATCCTCCCTCGGCTTCACACTCCTTCCCTGGATTCAATATTCTGCAAACCAACAACTAATATATTTATTAATCTATTCAATCCATCACTATACTTAACCCACAATTTCTACTACTTCAATTCTGTTTAACTCAAAGTACCTTCGAATGGAAGTTAAAAATCAGGTGACGGTAGATCAAACTCTCAATTACAATATGTTTATGAAATGGGACCCAGGTGCAGGTGTTTTACGATTAAAGGCATCCATCGGTAAATCTCAGAGCACTAATTGCTGCCATTAATCACTGTGATACTGATGAAGAAGAAGTTTTATGAGTTCCACGTGTGATCTATGTGAAATTACAAGAATGGCCATCTTTAAGCTTGAGAATAGCATTCATGCTTCATTTCTGTTTCTGTCTCATCAAATGAAATCAGGATATGGTCCCCGCCTTGGACACTGCCCCAAAGTGTTTCCGTTGGAAATCATAGAGCCACGTGTAACCAAATGGGACAACCTGGAATTCAAGTGTTACGCTATTTAAATAATTCATATTTTTTTTATCTTGTGGCCCAAATTTTTTATTTATTTCATTCATCCCCATTTTCTTCACTTTTCATATGTACACATTCTCTATCAAAACAAATACCTTTTTTTTTTTCTATTTTTTTTAATCAATCTATTTAATAGCAAATTTCATTATTTTATGATTAATTAGTTTCCCAATTATGAAAATTAAATATGTAATATCTTATAGTTTGAATGAAATATAAAAGTATGATTACTCTTTACTTTGAACTTTTTTTTTTTTTCTAATGTTAGATCACATGATTAGATAATATATCCACCATTGATGGAATTTAATCTCACATAAAAGTTTAAAATATATTCTAATAAATGAATAGAATCCTTTCAATAATATATATTTTTTTATCAAATGGAAATCATATTTATTAGATATTTTAATAACATATTTATGAAAATAAAAAATTAGGAGAAGGTTCCGGGGCACAACTTTTTTTCACACAAAATATGACATAATTTATGAGTCATTAGATTAATGCATTTTGAGTGGTTAAGATTCAATACAACTTGCATAATTAATGCACATTATGAATTTTATAATATAAATACATTTTCAACCGTTGAAATATATTAATCTAACGGCTTATAAATTGTGTCAAAAATTGTGTAAAAAAAAAAAAAGGGGTGCTCCACTTTTTTATCACAAAATATAGACGCTCCCGAGCCTTCCCTCAATTTTGTTTCAAATTTATATTGGGGGTAGAATGCAAGGACAAAAACCCAAAAGTTTCAATTAGAGAAGAACACTACGTAATTATGGTAATAAAGAGGGGTACAATTCTGAAAAAGTGAAAAAAAAAACAAAATTGAAGGTCGGGAATGAACACGTGAGCGAGACCGCGGTCTCATGCGCATGTTCACGAGACAACTGGTAAGCCTATCATTGAAATAAACTAATCCTACTTAACCCACCAAACACTGTACAAATCAAACTTTCTCTCTCTCTCGTTAAGCTAAATAGTAAATAATACTGGAACAACAAAAAAGGAAAACAAATAGAAGAGAAAAGCAGGAATGTTCATCTTCTCTTCATTCTGAAACTTCACCTTAACAGTTCACATTGGGAGTTATGGGTGGGGTGACTTCGTCTATGGCTGCTAAATTTGCCTTTTTCCCACCAAACCCGCCGTCCTACAAGCTAAATACCAAGGATGCCACTGGTCTCTTGCTCATGGACCCCTTCCCTCACCGTGAAAACATCGACGTTTTACGCTTGCCCACTCGTCGCGGCACTGAGATCGCGGCCGTCTATGTCAGGTACCCCATGGCCACCACTACTCTTTTGTACTCTCATGGCAATGCAGCTGATATCGGCCAGATGTACGAGCTCTTCATCGAATTGAGTATTCACTTGCGTGTTAATCTCATGGGGTATTTCACTTTCTCCTCTTTTCTATTTTTTTTTCTATAATATGGGGCGCTGTATTTGAATTTTGGTATATTTAGTTTAATTTAGTTAGGTTAACGGTGGAGTGACACAACAGCTAGTTTAGAGTACTCCATCAAAAATTGTCGTGGTTTTACCTTCACGGTTTCGGTACGGTCAGTTTTCAGATCTGGGCTTCGGCTAAAACATGTGTTAGTGTGAAAATTGGTAAATGTAACTCTTGATGGTTACTCGTCAGAAAAGAAAGACAAGTTTACATGGTTGATAAGGTTTAATTAACTGTAAAGTCGTACAAATAGAAATGAAGATTAGGTTTTTTTGTAGTCTTAGTTTAGATGTTATTTGGGCCTTTCAGTTTTCCTTTGTCTTGAAACTTTTCAAGCTGTTGGGTTCTACTTTAGTTTAGTCTCTGTTGATGATACTATCTAGAGTTGAACTTGCGGAGGAAGGGATATTGGGAATGAGAGGACCTATTCTTGTTGTGTAGCCTTCTGTTGCTAATTAATAAAGAAGCCAACAGATCTCTCTAAACGAAAAAGCCAAGTACCAAGAAAGGTGACTATGCCGAAAGAATTAATCAGGTATTGTCCAAAGATGGAAATGTTTGGGTGGCAAGATGACTTTATTTGATGCGTGCAATAGCTAGATTCTAAGTAAATTATGGAGCATGAAGGTAATTTACATAATTTCTACACCTTTTTATGGGTAATACGTATGGCATGGGCTAAATTGAACCTTTACTCCCTAGTTGAGCAGAATTTTTTGGTTTGTAGCTGACTGCAAGTTGTTGGGATTAAGGCTTTTTTTAAATTTTGCATTGTCTGGCTTCTATTTGGTATAAAAATCTTTATCCAATATTTAAACATTTTTTGGTTCAATAAATGCAGATATGACTACTCCGGCTATGGGCAGTCATCGGGAAAGGTAACTGCCTCATGATTCCTGTTATTATTCTATTCAAGTAATTGAAATGTCAATCACTCATGACAGATGTGTATTCTTTTGTTCAGCCCACTGAGCAGAATACTTATGCAGATATTGAAGCTGCATACAAGTGTCTAGAAGAAAGCTATGGTGCTAATCAGGAAAACATCATCCTTTATGGTCAGTCTGTTGGAAGTGGACCTACTTTGGATCTTGCAGCCCGTTTGCCTCGACTAAGAGCTGTTGTTCTACATAGTCCCATACTTTCAGGATTAAGAGTCATGTATCCTGTAAAGCGCACTTACTGGTTTGACATCTATAAGGTTAGTATTTTTGTTCTCTGATCTATTTGCCATATATTCTCATATTTTGGGGAATAATTTATGTTTATTTGTTTGTGAGGATGACATTACTTGAGTTTTGTGCAGAACATTGATAAAATCCCGTTGGTAAAGTGCCCTGTACTGATTATTCATGTAAGTATTCACAGCACAATACTTTTCATCTGCAAATTGTATGAGCTTACAAAAAAAAATTATATTCTTGATAATTGTGGCATTATATTCTTCTTTCTGGCTTTGCATAGACAAGTTGATAAATGCCATGGCCAAGCAACTACAACACTCATGAAAGAAATATTTGGATGCAGTTGGACCTCATTTATACCTTTTCTCTAACAGTGTGCTGAAGTGCTTGTATTAACTTAAAATGGAATTCCTCAAATAGTGGTGGTGAAATTTGAATCTAAAGTTAAATTTTGTGGAGATTGTTAAGAAAGGTAGGCGTTAGAAGGTTGGAACTAACTGTTGAAGAACAGGTCAAAGTGGATGACCCAGTGATATGCAATTTAGACCAATGTAATGTGGTACCGTAGAGCAGAGCAAGTTGGTTCAAGTCAATGTCTAAGTTACTACGTGGACAAGAAATAAGAATTAAAGTTTATGTTTTAAATGAGTATGTGAGAGTGATCCAGATGTAGCAAAAATTTGAATTACTGACTTCAAGGGTCTGGAATAAGTGTAGTTGAAATGAATTTAGTGGTACTGGCGAGTGGAGCATGATATAATGCAGTATGAACCTAGTGGCCATCTTTACTGAAACTGACAAGCCATTTTTATCCCTTTCTGGCTGAATCTAAAAACCTGTATCACTTCTATCTCCCTTGTATGTTTTTTATCAAAATCTCATTGGTAACTAAGTTATGTATGCTTGGATGGTAACCATCACAAGGCTACATTTTTCCATTCTTTCAAGGTCATGGCTTTTCTTCTTTCTTGATTTGAAAAGTTACTGATGTTTTAAAATTTCTCTTTGGTGATATCTATGTCTAAATTTCTCATGATTTAGCCACTAATTGCAGTGTCTTTTGAAACTTGTCATTTAATTGCGTTTATAGAAATGTAGTTGGTTTTTCTTGTTTCTTAGTGTCTACATTGAACAAATTCTTCAATTTTAATTTGTGTGGTTTGCTGTTCAGGGTACTTCTGATGAGGTTGTTGATTGCTCTCATGGAAAGCAACTTTGGGAACTATGCCAAGAGAAATATGAACCCTTGTGGCTCAAAGGAGGAAATCACTGTGATCTGGAACTCTTTCCAGAATACCTTAGGCATCTCAAGAAATTTATATCAAGTGTTGAAAAAGCACCTTCACGAAGGAGCAGTTCACGTAGGAGCGTTGACGGGCTTGAACATTCCAGACGGAGTACAGATTGTTTCGAAGCACCAAGGAAGAGTACAGATCGCAGAGAAAAACCAAGAAAAAGCACAGACAGGCCTGAAAAACTCAGACTTCATGAGTACAAATTTAACAATATTGACAAGCTAGAAAAGTTAAGAGTCCCTTTGGACCAGATGGATAGGTCTCGGAGAAGTGTGGAATACCATGAGAAATCTAGGAGAAGCATCGATCAACAGCTAGAAAGAGCACGGAAGAGTGTGGACTGGTTGGATCGAATTCGAGCTGGTTAAATACATCAAGTCATTTATTAAGACTTTTAGACTGATTGAGTTTGTGATGGAGAGATGGGGATAGCAAGAAAAAGATGGGGAAAATTATTTGGGATTAAACATTTTTAACTTAATGATTTTTACAATGTGTATTCTGGTGTTGTATAATGACTATGTCATGGTTTGTAGAGTTTGGTATATTGGGTTTCAACATCCTTCATTGCTAATGAAACAACACTAACTTTTTTTCATTTCATGATCCAGTAAGCTTTTCAGTACTCATAATCCTACTTGGAAATCCAAGAACAACAGGCAAATTTTATTAGCATACGAATGTTTCAAGTAAACTTGAGTATGTAATTAACTAATTTTGTTTTTCATCAAGCTGTTGGGTTCTACTTTAGTTTAGTCTCTGTTGATGATACTGTCTAGAGTTGAACTTGTGGAGGAAAGGACATTGGGAATTCGAGGACCTATTCTTGCTGTGTAGCCTTCTGTTGCTAATTAATAAAGAAGCCAACAGATCTCTCGAAACGAAAAAGCCAAGTACCAAGACAGGTGACTATGCCGAAAGAATTAATCAGGTATTGTCCAAAGCTGGAAATGTTTGGGTGGCAAGATGACTTTATTTGATGCGTGCAATAGCTAGATTCTAAGTAAATTATGGAGCATGAAGGTAATTTACATAATTTCTACACCTTTTTATGGGTAATACGTATGGCATGGGCTAAATTGAACCTTTACTCCCTAGTTGAGCAGAATTTTTTGGTTTGTAGCTGACTGCAAGTTGTTGGGATTAAGGCTTTTTTTAAATTTTGCATTGTCTGGCTTCTATTTGGTATAAAAATCTTTATCCAATATTTAAACATTTTTTGGTTCAATAAATGCAGATATGACTACTCCGGCTATGGGCAGTCATCAGGAAAGGTAACTGCCTCATGATTCCTTTTATTATTCTATTTAAGTAATTGAAATGTCAATCACTCATGACAGATGTGTATTCTTTTGTTCAGCCCACTGAGCAGAATACTTATGCAGATATTGAAGCTGCATACAAGTGTCTAGAAGAAAGCTATGGTGCTAAGCAGGAAAACATCATCCTTTATGGTCAGTCTGTTGGAAGTGGACCTACTTTGGATCTTGCAGCCCGTTTGCCTCGACTAAGAGCTGTTGTTCTACATAGTCCCATACTTTCAGGATTAAGAGTCATGTATCCTGTAAAGCGCACTTACTGGTTTGACATCTATAAGGTTAGTATTTTTGTTCTCTGATCTATTTGCCATATATTCTCATATTTTGGGGAATAATTTATGTTTATTTGTTTGTGAGGATGACATTACTTAAGTTTTGTGCAGAACATTGATAAAATCCCGTTGGTAAAGTGCCCTGTACTGATTATTCATGTAAGTATTCACAGCACAATACTTTTCATCTGCAAATTGTATGAACTTATAAAAAAAATTTCTATTCTTGATAATTGTGGCATTATATTCTTCTTCTGGCTTTGCATAGACAAGTTGATAAATGCCATGGCCAAGCAACTACAACACTCATGAAAGAAATATTTGGAGGCAGTTGGACCTCATTTATACCTTTTCTCTAACAGTTTGCTGAAGTGCATGTATTAACCTAAAATGGAATTCCTTAAATAGTGGTGGTGAAATTTGAATCTGAAGTTAAATTTTGTGGAGATTGTTAAGAAAGGTAGGTGTTAGAAGGTTGGAACTAACTGTTGAAGAACAGGTCAAAGTGGATGACCCAGTGATATGCAATTTAGACCAATGTAATGTGGTACCGTAGTGCAGAGCAAGTTGGTTCAAGTCAATGTCTAAGTTACTACGTGGACAAGAAATAAGAATTAAAGTTTATGTTTTAAATGAGTATGTGAGAGTGATCCAGATGGAGCAAAAATATGAATTACTGACTTCAAGGGTCTGGAATAAGTGTAGTTGAAATGAATTTAGTGGTACTGGCGAGTGGAGCATGATATAATGCAGTATGAACCTAGTGGCCATTTTTACTGAAACTGACAAGCCATTTTTATCCCTTTCTGGCTTAATCTAAAAACCTGTATCACTTCTATCTCCCTTGTATGTTTATTATCAAAATCTCATTGTTACCTAAGTTCTGTATGCTTGGATAGTAACCATCACAAGGCTACATTTTTCCATTCTTTCAAGGTCATGGCTTTTCTTCTTTCTTGATTTGAGAAGTTACTGATGTTTTAAAATTTCTCTTTAGTGATATCTATGTCTAAATTTCTTATGATTTAGCCACTAATTGCAGTGGCTTTTGAAACTTATCATTTAATTGCGTTTATAGAAATGTAGTTGGTTTTTCTTGTTTCTTAGTGTCTACATTGAACAAATTCTTCAATTTTAATTTGTGTGGTTTGCTGTTCAGGGTACTTCTGATGAGGTTGTTGATTGCTCTCATGGAAAGCAACTTTGGGAACTATGCCAAGAGAAATATGAACCCTTGTGGCTCAAAGGAGGAAATCACTGTGATCTGGAACTCTTTCCAGAATACCTTAGGCATCTCAAGAAATTTATATCAAGTGTTGAAAAAGCACCTTCACGAAGGAGCAGTTCACGTAGGAGCGTTGACGGGCTTGAACATTCCAGACGGAGTACAGATTGTTTCGAAGCACCAAGGAAGAGTACAGATCGCAGAGAAAAACCAAGAAAAAGCACAGACAGGCCTGAAAAACTCAGACTTCATGAGTACAAATTTAACAATATTGACAAGCTAGAAAAGTTAAGAGTCCCTTTGGACCAGATGGATAGGTCTCGGAGAAGTGTGGAATACCATGAGAAATCTAGGAGAAGCATCGATCAACAGCTAGAAAGAGCACGGAAGAGTGTGGACTGGTTGGATCGAATTCGAGCTGGTTAAATACATCAAGTCATTTATTAAGACTTTTAGACTGATTGAGTTTGTGATGGAGAGATTGGGATAGCAAGAAAAAGATGGGGAAAATTATTTGGGATTAAACATTTTTAACTTAATGATTTTTACAATGTGTATTCTGGTGTTGTATAATGACTATGTCATGGTTTGTAGAGTTTGGTATATTGGGATTCAACATCCTTCATTGTTAATGAAACAACACTAACTTTTTTTCATTTCATGATCCAGTAAGCTTTTCAGTACTCATAATCCTACTTGGAAATCCAAGAACAACAGGCAAATTTTATTAGCATACGAATGTTTCAAGTAAACTTGAGTATGTAATTAACTAATTTTGTTTTTCATTAATCACTAATTATAAACGCGGATTGGAGCTTTCAGATTTTTTTTTTTTTTTTTTTTTAATGATCCGTAATTACCGACCCGGAAGGAGGCCCGACCCTCCAGCTCGCAAAGTAAACGGGTCGGGTTGTGAGATGACTCTTTAGATAAATATAATTTCTCTTTGTAAAATTTTCCAGAAATACTCTTTGATCTTCAATCTTCTTCCGTCGAGTCGACTTAACGACAGGACCTGTCTCCGGGCAAAGCCCAATTTGAAACAACATCTCAAATTAACAATCGGATTGGATCAATATGTATGTGTTATAATCGAGCACTTTTATTTCGCTGTTTATTTTGTTTGGTTCCCGAGAAAAGAAAGGAAGAGAAAGAATGCATTGTCTACTATTTAAGCTTTTAACTGGAATTTGATGAATCAGTAACGATAAGATTAATGTACAAATTATGATTTCAGGTCACAAGAAGAAATTGCGAAGGAAGCTATAACGCACGCTTTGAAGGCGCTGCGGAAACGGCATTTGGTTGAAGAAGGCGCTCATGCTCCCGCTATTATCGCTCTTTCTCGGCCCATAATTTCTCAGGTCTTTCATGATTATAGTGCATCTCTTTTTGTAATTTCAGTTTGTTAACGATAATATTGTTATTGAGTTAGTTATGTGATGTTAATAAAGGGGTCAGAATGGAAAGAGAAAGCTGAAAATCTGGAAACGGAACTTCAGCAATGTTACAAAGCCCAATCTAGGTTGTCGGAGCAACTTGTGGTTGAAGTAGCCGAGTCCAGAGCTTCTAAAAATTTGTTACAAGAGAAAGAATCACAAATTAATTCTCTACAGGAGGAATTGGGGAAAATAAGGTTGTGTGTTTTTCCTCTTTGTTTTATTCTTTGCTTACCAGCTAGGTGGATTTTAACATGAGACTAAATTTATGAATTGTAGGGATGAATGTTCTCAATTGAAGACGGATTTGGAAGAAAAGATTACAGCTCTAGAATTAGTTATGGCGGAGAACAAGGAAATCCGAGCACAACTAGAAAAAATGACCATTAAAGCTAAGGATGCAGAGGCTGAAAATAAGATGTTGGTTGATCGATTGATGCTGCAAAAGATGCAGGATGCTGAACGGCTAAACGAGGTATTTGATATTCTTGTCCTGATTAAAATGGAGGTATTGGATGTGCTGTAGTTTCATACTAACGCTATTTAGTTGTTTTAACAAGGGACCTGGGATATTATTCCAAGTAATTGCAATGACATGTATATATAATTTTTAATGTTTATATCTGTGTCATTTAGGTGTAAGCAGATTCCAGAGGATTGTATGCCCATTGTTTGGACACACACATGCACTCTATTTTCTCCACCAATCTTTAAGCAATAAATAAAATCTGTATTTACTATATTTTGTTAAGATTATATTGAGCAGTACTGTGATCATGTGTTTGGTTTCAGAGAGGAGATGGTGGTCTTCTGACTTCTTCTTGGTTTTGTTTTGTATATAGTGTTCTGGGGCTACCTTCGTTTGCTCTTGTTAAATTATTGGGAGATGCAATCTATATGCCTCCTTTTATCCGGGGTTTGCAACTTCTCTTTTGTAGATAAGTTACAATTTAATTATTACAACTAAATACACTTTTATGAATATTTGACAGGGGGAAGGTGCATTGACAACATTATTTTTAAATTACGTGCATTTCTCAGACTTTGAATTGTATATTTTGCTTTAGTGTTGGAATTTGTTTTAGTTTCTATCTATTTTCATCTGAAATATGTACCCTATTGCAGAATTTGGAAAGCACTGTATATTCTACCTTCTTAACTACTTTAGTAATTATTTAAATTGAATTTTCTTTCATTGTTGTAGGCAAATGCGCTTTATGAAGATTTGATGGAACGGCACAAGGCCAGTGGACTGGAGAATCTTGCGAAGCAGCAAGTAGATGGTGTTGTCCGCCGAAGTGAAGAAGGTGCTGAGGACTTTATGGACTCAACTGTTTCTTCTGCATGCAAACACAAGATCAATGCCCACAACGGTGGCTGTGCATCCATATTGTTTGAGTACAACTCTGACAGATTGATTAGTGGGGGACAGGACAAGTCAATCAAACTGTGGGACACAAACACTGGATCTCTAAGTAATACCCTTTATGGTTGCCTCGGCTCTGTTCTTGATCTTTCTATTACCCATGATAATAGATCTGTCATTGCAGCAAGTAGCTCGAACAACTTATATGTATGGGATGTCTACTCTGGGCGTGTTCGTCATAGTCTCACTGGTCATGCAGATAAAGTGTGTGCTGTAGATGTGAGTAAAATTTCAAGCCGTCACGTTGTGAGTGCAGCTTATGATCGCACAATAAAAGTTTGGGATTTGCAGAAAGGTTATTGTGTCAACACCATCATTTTCCACAGCAACTGCAATGCTCTTGCATTCAGCATGGATGGACAAACCATATTTTCTGGTCATGTTGACGGGAATTTGCGTTTATGGGATATTCAGACGGGAAAGCTGCTTAGTGAAGTTGCTGCACACGCACCTGCAGCTGTCACATCTATCTCTCTGTCTAGAGGAGGAAACGTAGTATTGACTAGTGGACGAGACAACATGCACAATTTATTTGATATTCGGTCTCTGGAAGTTTGTCGCTCATTAAGAGCAACTGGAAATCGAGTGGCATCTAATTGGAGCAGATCCTGCATCAGTCCACATGAGAACTATGTTGCTGCTGGCTCAGCTGATGGATCTGTATGTATCTGGTCGATATCGAAAGCTGATATAGTCAACACTCTGAAGGAACACAGTGCCCCAGTTCTGTGTTGTTCGTGGAGTGGCCTCGGGAAACCTCTAGCATCCGCTGACAAGAATGGAATTGTTTGTATTTGGACATGATAGTTCTATTACACGTGTAAATATGTCGAAACTGAAACGATTATTCAGGTTCCTGATTTTATTATCAACCATTCAAAAGATTCTTGACGTTGAATATAATACTAGACATTTGATTTTGGGTAAGAGCAGGTGAGCAGTGTTAGTATATAGTGGGCAATAATGTGTTACAATTGGGAAAACAAGTAAAAAGTTGGGTTCTGCCTGCGTAAATAGGCGGGTATGTTGATGAATTACAAGCTATTGTCTTACTTGATAGAAGGAATTTGTCCGATTCTTTATTTGTGTAAATGCACTATTCAATTGCTTGTATTGTTTTCTGGCGGTTTTATTTCATTTCATTACTTAAACCAAGTACAATGTGAAGCTTGAGTTGAAGTAGACGTAATGGAAGTTTCTTTTAAGACTTTGTAATTACTTATTAATTGCCTTGATAAGTGGTAATGTAGTATACCCACAACAATCATTGCAATATTTTTACTTCCCACGATCAATAATGTTTCTTGTGGGCAATACTACACTTATAAGTTACAATTCAATCTCGCAAGCTATTAGTTAGCTTGTAGTGAATTTCACCTATCCAATTACGAGTTATCATGTTGAGGTTGTGAGTAAAAGTTTGTAAGATTGGGTTGTAAACCAATCTTTATTGGTTTCTTATTGTTGATATTTCACGGCTCACGTACTCTATTGTATACATTTTGTTGGATTATATTTTCTTGGTATTCTAATTGAATAACTTAACTATCTACATTCTTTCTTTCATATCTTTATCTTTTTATCAACTATTTAGAAGAGCTTTTTGTTTTACACAACGTGTAACAGCTTTTAATAAATTCAATTTTCTAAAAAAAATCTCTTTAATGAAGTTTTGCTTAAAAGAATTATATTTGACTTAAATAATCCATGACACCAGAAGAGAATATGAAAATGAATTGGATTGAAACAACCCAATCAAGGAAAAATATTATAAGTACTTAAAATAGTTTTCTGTTTTGTTAATTAATATCAATTTGTGAACGTCAATTCACAATATAACTTTTTTCAAATTATGCTCTTGTTTCGTGGCCCAATGATTTATTACGCGTAGGAATTGGGTGCGTTTTGGAGGGTTGAACAAACTTATAAAAGTGGGAATTATTGTTTTAAAACAATTAAGGCACGGCACCATTAATTTTCATGACATATGGGCATCGCTTCTTTTTTTATTCTGCTTAAGTAGCAAGAAATTGCTATACATATATCAAAATATGCTAAAAATGGGCATGTATGTTGTAAGTTGTAACGTGGAAATGAGCAGTCACCCATTTATCACGCTACAATAGTCCTCTAAGTAATAACTTGGACTCCCTACCCCTAGTCAATTTTACTTTACTATGTTTGGACCAATCACTTAACCTCTATCTACATTCTTTTCTTACTATTGATATAGGACATGTATGTTATTATTGTTATATTTTATATCTGATAAACCTAAGTCTTGAGCTTATAAGGCCAGCTAAATATTATTAGCTAGTATTTCGGGGAATTCACAAACATGAGGCCTAATATATGAAATTTATATATAAATACAGTTATACAATTATAATATATAGAAATCCTTAAAACTTATCCTTCAAAACCGATTTCAATGTAAAAGCCTTTTTGTTTCAGTTAAAGGCATAAAATGCAGTTTTTCCCACTAGGCACTAGCTGAAACATCGTGGCAAAAACAAAACCTCCATGGACGTCACTTGTTTTTCTTCCTTTTCTCCCTTATTTATGATTTATGTGATAACGTGTTTTCCATGGAATGATCACACCATTAAGCCTCCACAAGTTTTCTATGTTAACACCTAGCTAACTGACTCTTCAAAAATATAAAAAAAAAAAAAAAAACCCACTTCTTCATTTCTTCTGTCTATAAGCAACTCAAACTAACTAACTTGCTAATAGATGTGAGAACAATCTCTACAGCTTCTTCTCCATTACTAACAACCCCATTTTTATTCCTTTCTACATTATTATAGCTTGTTCATTCCCACAAGGAATTTGTAACTTCTTCATTCATTATCTCTTTGTTTTCTTCATCTTTATTTGTTATATTATCTTGTCACTTTCTCATTCCTCCATATAAACCACTTCTCAACTTCTCCAACTTCATATCATTTTGTGTTCAAACATCTTAGTGAATGAAAATGAAGAAGCTTTTCTTAGTTGTTCTTTTATTGGCTCTGGCTCTTGGCATTGCTCAAAGTTTCGATTTCCATGAAAAGGAGTTGGAGTCTGAGGAAAGCTTGTGGGATTTGTACGAGAGATGGAGGAGCCATCACACAGTTTCCAGAAGTTTTGATGAGAAAAATAAGCGATTTAATGTGTTCAAGCATAATGTTATGCATGTCCACAATACTAATAAGATGGACAAGCCTTATAAGTTGAAGTTGAACAAGTTTGCGGACTTGACTAACCATGAATTCAGAAATACTTACTCCGGCTCCAACGTTAAGCATCACAGAATGTTCCAAGGGGCGCCAAGAGGTAACGGGAGCTTCATGTATGAGAAGGTAGATCTTGTCCCACCGTCTGTTGATTGGAGAAAAAAAGGCTCTGTCAACCCTGTAAAGGACCAAGGCAAATGCGGTAACATCATTTTCTATTTCTATAATCTTGTTATTGTGACCATTACACTCAACTAAAAGCGATATAAAAGTTTCATGTTTTTTGATATGTTATAGGAAGTTGTTGGGCATTTTCAACAATTGCAGCAGTTGAAGGTATTAATCATATTAAGACAAATAAGCTTGTGTCGTTGTCTGAGCAAGAGCTGGTAGATTGTGACACTTCTGAAAACCAAGGATGTAATGGAGGGCTAATGGATTTGGCATTTGAGTTCATCACGAAAAAGGGAGGCATAACAACAGAGAGTAATTATCCTTACCAAGCTAATGATGGAACTTGTGATGTTGCAAAGGTACAAATTTTACTGGATTTAAGCATTTATTTTTTTGATGATGGCGAAATAATAAAACTATATTCAATCGATTTGTAGGAGAATTCTCCTGCAGTGTCAATTGATGGGCATGAGAATGTACCTGCTAATGATGAGGATGCATTGCTTAAAGCTGTTGCAAACCAGCCAGTTGCAGTGGCTATTGATGCTGGGGGTTCAGATTTCCAGTTCTATTCTGAGGTAAAGATCCTGAATCACTCTTGAATTATAAACACCCAATCAACTTGATAAAATTTCATTCACAACAATTTTTTACTTGCACTGCTCTCGTGGGAAGCAAACTGATTTTAATATAGTCCTCAATAATACATCAAATAAAACACTCTTAAATTTGAACAACTAACTAGATTGCCTTTCAATATGTTTGAATTTGTTTGCAGGGTGTATTTACAGGAAAATGTGGCACAGAGTTGGACCATGGTGTTGCAGTTGTGGGTTATGGAATTACACTTGATGGAACCAAGTATTGGATTGTGAGGAACTCTTGGGGACCTGAATGGGGAGAGAAGGGTTACATAAGAATGCAGCGAGGCATCTCGAGCAAAGAGGGACTGTGTGGCATAGCTATGGAGGCTTCATATCCCATTAAGAAATCTTCAACTAACCCAATTGGACCTTCACATTCTCTAAAAGATGAACTCTAATTCATGTTCACCATTGTCTTGAGCTCTGCTCTCAACCTTTAGCTATTTATATCTTCTGTGATAAAAGTTGCATGCCTCATGGCATCACGATTCATCAATATGTTTTTTCTCAGATTTTAATGCTATGTATCAGTAACAACTTCATCAATGAATAATGTTTTTCTCAGATTGAATGCTAGGTATCAGTAAGAACAGTTTCGTAAATGGGAATAGAAAAATCAATTTAAAAAATAATCCAAGACCAGGGAATCATAAACTGAGGCAACTTATTCATATAATAATGCAATTCATCCATGAATACACCGAACAACAAAGCTCCTTATTGTGCAATAAGTGGAGATAAAAGGTTAAAAAACATACTTTGTCAACCATTACATCTGATGGGATCATTGCAACCCTTTTCAGCTGATTGTTTGAGTCCTTTACCTCCTCCCTTTTCCAGATACTGCTGATGATATTCTTCTGCTCTGTAAAATCTCTTTGCAGGAAGAATTTCAGTGACAATCTTCCTATCCTTGAGCTCCAACTGCTTAACTTCCATGGACTCTCGGGCTAAACGAGCCTGGGTCTCATTGTAATAGTAGATTCCTGATCTATATTGCGCACCCACATCACCACCCTGACACATCAATCATCAAAGTACTTGGAAAGAGCCAACAGCATAACTCAAGTTTAGATTCTAATATTGATCCTACCAGTCTGGGATTGTTATTTCCTTGAATGTAATCACTCTAACTTTGAAATAATTAGCTTAAAAATAAATGAAAGTATGTTCTATAAATCTCATTTTAAAATTGTTGTGAACTTCAAAAACTGTAGATATGTGTTTGATCAATTGGGTTTTCAGATTGTTGTTACATATGTAAAGATAAAAAAAGAAATTTATTTTTTAATATTTTCATAAATATAAAACTATATTTTGATCAATTTTTAATAAACATTATATATATTAAATAAATTATCATTTTATGAATAACTAAGATAAATTAGAAAACAACTTCAATTGATTGGCAATGGTTGGACAGTCAACAACAATAAGGTTCGATGGCATCCGCTGCAGCGGATGTCATCAAATTGGTGTAAGTCAATTAGTTGAATTAGGTTTACACCACAAGTTATTCAAAAAAAAAAAATTGATAGACTCGATGAGTCAATTTCCCGATTTCTACAGAAAGATTTCAATATTCTGTCATTCATTAAACATTATCCTTTTATCTTATGAGTCATCAGTATTATTAAACAGTATCTATACTCTTCAATTGATTGAACTTTGAGATTTCCAGAGTTTAATTTATTGCTTCCTGTATCGTTATCAAAATCCTCAATAAAAAATTCATTATTATAAATACACTTCCTTTCTCCAATCTTGCATTATTAATGAGACTATATATTAAGCAAAGAATAAAGTTAAAATTCAAGGTGCAATGATAACATACCTGGCGGTTGAGGGTTGTAGGGTCATGACGGCCCCAAAAAACAGAGAGGAGATTTGTATACGGGCAAACTTGCGGGTCAAACTGAACCCGAATCACCTCCACATGGTTGGTTGTTCTAGAGCACACAAGTCTGTAATTTGGATCCGGAACGTGGCCTTGAGAATACCCAACTTCAGTCTTCACTACACCCACCACTCGCTGAAACGCTAGTTCCACTCCCCAGAAGCACCCCGCTCCGAACTGGGCAAATTCATGTGCCGGGTTTTCGGGATGGTCTTGATCCGGTTCCAGAGCTGGGTTGTTGGCTGCCATTTTCAAAATCCCGTTAGCGTTGATGGTAATTGGTTCTGCAATAGTTATAGTGAATATGTGACCCCTTTTATAAGAAGAGGGAAGAGCGAAGAGTAAGTGTGATGAATCTGAACTGAATCATGAGTACTGTTCATTATTCGCACAATTCAAATGAATCTTCTCAATCACTTGTGACGTCAGGTTACAAAGTTTAGATTTCGACATTGTTACGTTTACATCGGGCTTGGGTTCATTGGGTTGGGCTGTAGCCGCTCTACAACCCAATACTGAAAAGGCCGATAGAGGCTTTGACCATAATGAGTTACAGATAAGAAAAAAGAAAATTGGTTGGATATTATACGAATAAAACAACTCTAGTCTTTGTGGCTTGTGTGGGGAATACGATTTTGAAGTTTATCATATTATATTTATGCAGCAAGACATTTTCATGTCTTTAGCCGTGACACAATCTATATGATTACGATGTCCATGCTTATCAATTCAATTGAATTAATTTAATACTGTAGCCAGGTCATAAACTTTTGGCCTTAATCCTAGGAATCAGAATGCTTGAAAAAGAGTGTGGGATTGTTAATAGGTGGGTCATTTTTCTGCTGGTTAAGGCTTAAACAACAAAGCATTTGATGGGCTGTTAGTGCTAAATTTATAAAGTAAAAAAGTGTCAAATGATCTCTCTCTCTGGTATTTAGTGTTCAGTGGACCTGCAAGTTGCAGCCCTGAAAGCCTTTTCTGCGAAGAAGAAGGTACCTTTGAAAGTCATGATGTTTTAGGACCCTCTCTGAATTTCTCAACCTCGTGTTGAGTGTTGGCATGCCTTTTAAGAATTGAATCTGCTATGGAAACAAGAGAAGATTTAAGTAGGGCCAAGATGGGATTCCTTGTTGTTGAAGTGCCGTCTCCAAGAACTGCAATATTATGCCTTTTTCTTAAACACATTGAGCATCTCACCACCACATAGTGACCTTTTCCAGACCAACTTTTACAATTTTCACATAAGAGAGACCAATATTCCGGACTAACTTTTACAATTTTCACATAAGAGAGACCAATATTCCAGACCAACTTTTACAATTTTCACATAAGAGAGACCAATATTCCAGTCATTAGCTGGAAAAATTTGCCATCATAACTTTAATTTGATATGCCCTCGTAGAAACACAATAATATATATGAAACAGCAGTTTCTTTTTACACATGCAAGAGTTTTCAGGCCGTTGAAGAAAGAAATATTTGTAAATGAAATATACAGTCACTAAGCACGATCCCACCTGACTATACTTTCTTAACAAAGATGATTGCATATCACACACTATCATGTAAAAGGATTATGAAGTTTCTGAAGGCAGAAGCAGAGCAGCCTTTTAAGTCATGCTCAATCTGATTAAGTAAATGAAATGGGGTATTGGATTCGGGAAGCTATTAATGAGAAAAATATGAAATTAAATACTTTACAATGGGTCAATTTTAGGATGCAAAATAATCAAATATGACTACAAATACAATTGTCTAGTTTGGTTTCACCATCATTAAGTGGCCACTGGCCAACATTTTTTTCCCCCGCTGGTTGAAGCCTTCTGAATCAAAGAATATGTGTGTTGTTACGATTTCTCATACTAACGATAAATGCGCGAGAGCCTTCAGGGAAGTTCGCGCAAGAGTGTATTAAAAATTGAAAATATGATGTTGAACCAATGAAAAAAACTATAATAAAGCGTGAAAATAAATAAAAAGTAAACAAAAGAACTTTTAAAATGAATCGAATGCAAAGTGCAAATCCTCCATCCACTATTATCTTATTACTTTTCTTGTGTGTTTTTGGTGTGTTTATAAAAGACTATTTACTCTCAAATGAGATAATTGCTCCTAGCTATTGAGGAAAATGAAATTATGGATCTCTTCTTTGGGTTGAAAGGACCCATATTTATTCTGCTGCATAAGCGAACTTGCTTATGAAGTAATTCTCTCATTGCATGACACGTGACCTAACAAATCGTTCTTATTGAAAACTTACTACTGATATAGCCCTCTCATGAGATGACAAGCAAACTAGATGACAATTCAGTCTTAAACCTTATTGATGAAGTAACCTATGGTAACGTTGTAAATTAGATGACACGCGACCTTGACAGATGCATAGTCACAAAACGCATGGCAAGAGCTCATACTCCATTTGCATAGTCACTAAACATGTGGTGTGTAGCACGTTTTTAGGAGCAAAGCATCTTCACCACCTAGGTTTCCGAGGTGGAAGAAACAATAATTGTTATTCAATCTAAACCGACACATAAGTCAAATTTCAGAAAGATTTTCCCTAGCTGAGGAGAAGCTTTCACCAGACTTCTAGAAAAGATGATTAATTTATAAAAGGTTATGCTTTTTCTAATTAAGATTAATTTAAGCCCGACAGCTAGTGCAAAGCTCACTTCAGAAAATTATGCTGGAACAAGTAATCAGACCAAATAGACAAAAGTATACATCATGTGTGAGTTAGCTAGGACTTTTTCATAATTGCTACTTTTTTTTACTTCACCTGTGGAGGTCTCCGATTACTCTTGTTTTGTGCTGGAGGCTCCATTGAGTTCTTAATGGGGCAGAAAGAATAGTTATTAGAAATGACACAATGTACCCAGAAAAAAAAAAAATTCCCCAAGTCTAATTTTCACTTTTGTTTTCAAGTTTCAACCATGTGGATTATGTATTCAAGTTTGACAACTTGTAAATGAATAACTATCATTGGGTGGCCTAGCGATAAAAGAGCAAAAAGAAGTTTCATGAACTCTCAAGAAAAACTTAGTAGATGAATATATGAAAGTTAAAAAGAAGATTCAGCCAGGTTATAAGAAACTTTCATATATTGGGGAGATCAAGCATTACAAACAGCCACACTCCGACATACAAGCTTTTCCACTCTTACCACATTTGATTATTTCAAATATAATCAAACTGAAAATACAAACTCACTCTAATTTACAAGCGACTCGACACTATTCCCATATAAATGAAAGAACTGAAACACTGTAATGACTTATGATCATAACTTGAAGTTTCTCATTCCATGATCACTCATTGTCCGCTGTGATTCTTCCATTCTCTTTCTCTTGTGCAAAGACAAGGAAGATATAGTTCTGGCTGATACAACCTTCCTCACCAGAAGCCTCCACCGAGTATCATCACTCTTTTTCTCCACTTGTGCTCTCAACTTGAATTGCCTGTCACATTACAAAAATGACAATTTTAATGATTTTTTCTACCGGAAACAATTGTCCCTATCGCACCAGAAAAAGACATGAAAAAGGGGATCCACTTGATTAGATATATATATATTTGTAAGAGCACAACTAGAAGGTGAGACCTATCCCTTTCAAGGGAACTTACGAGAGGCTGGAGATATTTTATCTTTAGGCCCAGGCTAAAACAAAAATGAAATATAAACAATATTTTGAAAGGTCACATTAACAAGACCTCCTGGCTTGTCTTTTATAAATTATTGCGTTATGGCAGTCCATTCATTCCTATAACAATCTAATCAACATCATTAGTGAAATGCTCACTACCAACTCTCGTTGGTCTGTGTGAAGCATCACCATCTACGAGTGGGACTACCATGAAAAGATCAAAGATAAATTATGCAATTGCCATTTTTAAGACCTAATGAAAGGCACAGGACCATGCCAGCAGCTTAGTTTTTGGAAATATCAAAATAAATGAGTGATCTATAGGATATAGTCAAAATAAGGATAAGAACGACAAATTGGGTCCAGCACTTTTTAAATCTCTCCTAATTATCAGTTTATCTATGTAAACTGTTACTCTATTACTTAATATCAGACTTCAAATCCTAGGACCCGATTGTTTCAAAAGCGTCAACTTGATAAAATTGAACCATTAAACATAAAGAGAAATCCAGTTATCAGCATATGAAAAAATTACAGTTTCTGTTAACATCATGATAATTAACCATTGGAAGATAAGTAAAGTTGGGTGAAAGGGATTAATCACCTGCAAAGAGGAACCCTGCAAGAATCAGATTGCTCACACATTAATGAGTGAAGTCTAAGGAGCTGCCACGTCCGCTTGCACCGCAAGCACCCTCCGCTTACCCTCCTCTTACATGTCCCAAAGTGCCGGATCAACAGCTGCAGACCTTGACACGTGCCGAATTTACTGCAAGGGCCCCTGCATTTGGTGGGCTCCATGTCATATGGCCCCACACTGGTGCATCCTTCTGTGCATATGTGCTCCAAGCATTCCATTGCCTCGCTTAGCTGTAAATACAAACTCTGTTCCTCTCTGTGCCTTCTTGACCTCTTCCTTCTCTGAAATCACATTTTGTAAAATTAAATTAAATAAACACGTATAATGGTTTTTTTCACTAACGGTAAAAATTAGAAGAAGGGTAACAAGAGTAATTTACCAATTCAGCTTCATCCATGAATTGAAGAATCTGAAGCTCCAGCCATGGATCGTGATCTTGCATAAATTTCCAACCTTCAGTCTTCTCAACAGCCTTGAACCGGCTGGCAATAAACTTCATACATTTGAGGGAAAGATCTGGTGCATCGCAAAGCCTGGCGAGTTGAAGCACGTCCACCACATTCTCTATCGTCAGCCGTCCACTTAAACCCTTTGTGCATCGCTGCTTCAGCCGCGGCACCAAGTAGACGTGTGATAAAGCCAGGAGGTGGATGCTGTATTTCCCTATCTGCTCCTCGGTGCACCTGCGCCACACGCCAGGGAAATTTAAGTCATATAAAAAAATCTACAAGTAATCAATATTGGTCGTCTGGTCCTAGATTTTTACTGGTTACTCAGCCGACCAGCTTACATGGTTAGAACATGCCACGTGTAATTCAAAGGTTTGTCAAATTTTCTAAATAATGATTCTTAACGCCGTCGAGTTCGACCAAAGAGCTTAAAGCCGTTGGATTAAAACCACGTGCAAAATATGAAACAAAATGAACGGCAGAGATTAAAAGGTAATCACCTGGACGTGTACAGAAATCCAACAAAAGAGGAAACGGCACCAGAAGGAACGCCGAGAATCGGAATGACTTTCTCGGATCTCCGTTGCTTAGGTGGCCCTTCAATGATGTTCTCCAACACCGGTGACGCTGATCCCTGAATTTCACCATGCAAGAGAAGAAAAAATCATATCTTTAAAAGCAAAAATGCAATAAGCAGCAATGTTGAGTAGAATAAACAGAAAGTGTTAGAAAAGATAAATAACCATACCAGGATGGCGGCGTGAACTGGGATGCGAAGGCCATCGGAAGTGAGAATTTCGAAATCGGGTTCGTAAAAGACGGTTTGTTTGGTGAGTGTAGTGAGATGAAGATCGCAGGAGATAGTTGTTGCGCGTAGAGGTTCTTCCATTGAAAGAGAGGAAGGGAGGGAAAGAAAGAATAATAGAATGAAATGAGTTATTCGTTGAGTGTTGTGTTTGTGCGAGGCGAATGAGTTTGGTGGCCTCAGTTTTATAGACAGCTTAATGGAGAAAAAGCGGTTCTTTAAGGGTATAACGACGGAATGGAATAGTTAAAATGTTACTAACTTTCTCTAAATCTACCACACAGTTTCCACAGGTTCGTACGCGCTGACCTATAATTCTTCTGAATTTCCTAAATTTTATTTAATTCTTTTATCTTTTTCATAACAAACATTTATGGAATGAGTTGCCAAATAATTTTATTTAGTTCATAGTTTTATATAATTAAGCAATTTTGTCAAAAATATGGTTTCAGATGCTATTTTTTTTTAAATAAATAATTGAATTAATAGAATTTTAAATTTCGTGATTAAGTAGGTTTAAGTTCCTCCAATTTTGTTTAAGAAAGATTCTTTCACGACAAACACTTATCTACGTACGTAATTGGTGGTCAAACCTCTTGATTTCAATTTTTAATTTATTTACTTGTTCAATGCAATATTTTTAAGTAATTATTATTTTATTTTAGAAGTTATCAAGTTTATAATTATTGTTACGCCTAACTTATATGCTGACATCATCTCCATTAATCAAGACTCAGCAGACTTTTCTACTAATAAGCTCTTAGCATTCATCTCCACCAAGCAGGGTTCACCAAGCGCAAGAAGAGAAAGTATAATAAATGTCTCATCTTTAAACCGACTCACAGAGGCATTTTGTGCAACTATTTGCCGAAATTTCATTTAATTTAAGGATATAGGTTAAAGCTCTCATGGAATCAGAATGAAAGAAGATTTTTACCAAATTAAGGTAATTTGTAAATGTACTCATTACTTTGAGCTGAAAAAATTATAAATAGGCAGTTCCACTCCTCAAAACATGATCAATTTTACACATTTTTTACGGTAAAAATAACAAAGATACACTACTAGAAAGAGATTCTCTTATCTTTTCTTATAAAACTTCAATCACTTGTAATCACGAGAAATCGCTCTCTTTGTAATCTTCACTAGCGATCACAAGGGAAACCATAATACAATCATAGTGGACGTAGGACTTGCTCATAACATTCAAACCACTATGAAAATCTATCTTGTTAACTTGTTATTTACGCACTAACTAACAAGCATCATCACTGCACCATAAACACATCTCACAATCATCTCACGTGTAACTTCTTAATACTTTGCACGTGCGTAGTTGTTGGTGTCAAAATCACGTATCAACAGTTATATTATAAAATTGTGAACGAAAACTTGTTTTCAACTTATATATAACTTACAGATCATCAATAAGAAAAAAAAATATGACAGCGATTAAGCTTGTGATTTTTTTTTTTTTTTTTTTGATAAGGTAAGAATTAAATAAAAGAAGCAAAATTTTGTACAAAAATATGAGGGACATTCCCCAAGCGAAGACTAAAACTCTCAGTCAATAAACACATAGAAAAACCACAAAGTGACAAACGGCATAAAAAGAGCACGTAGGCTCCCCACAAATCTAATCAGGTAAATTCCATATCACCTGGAGTTGGGCCGAGATCTCATACCTGGGTGCTAAACCCAAAATCTTGACCTAAATTGAATCACAAATAGCCGATACAATATCCCTACGAGAGCTGCAATGATGATAGAACACATGATTATTTCGTTCATACCACAGAAAATAATTGTAACTGAAAGGGCTAACAGTGGAATAAGGTGGTTAAAGTCCCTTTTGCGCCTAAGATGCAAGCTAACCCATTGGAACAAAGGAAACCAAAAAAAAAAAAAGGTCATGCAAAGAGCGTCCTGGCAATAACCTCCCACCAAACATAACTAGAGAAGTCACAGCTAAAAAATAGATGATCATGAGTTTCTATAGCAGACCTACATAGAAGACAATGGAAGATGTAATGACACCATGAGAGCTGAAACGATCCATAGTGCGAAGCTGACCAAAAGAAGCAAACCATAAAATGAAGAAGTGGCATGGAACATGCCCTAGAAACCACAACAGATGATGAATCAAGTTCACATCTCGTCTATCCCGTAAAACAATCCAAGCTGAATCAATAGAGAATCTGCCAAAAGAGTGACCCTTCCACACAAAATGATCAGGAAGGTCCACTGAAGGTTGCATTGTAACAGAGTTCTAGATATACTAAAGATCTACACTACCCAAAGGAAAATCTCACGAACCACCTCGAATAATATCTTAAACCTAAGCGTCCCATGGAAAACTAATAGAAGTCAAAGTTTTGAAAGGAAACAAATCACATAAAAGCCCCTATAGTAGCCAATAATCCTGCCATAAAAAGGTGTCTTTGCCATCACTGATAGAAGTCACAATAAGACCATGGCACCAATCCCTGCTGAGTAGGATCTTCCTCCAAGACCATGTAGTCCAAGAGGTAACTCGAATTTGCCAAAATGACTGATAGCGAAGCAGAACCAAACGAATCCAAGAGGACCAAATAGAAGAGAGATCACTAAGCAATCTCCAGACATGCTTAAGAATAGCTGCCCTATTCCAATCTCGAATCCTTTTAATCCCCAGACCACCATCTCTCAACGAATAGCAAACACAAGGCCATGCAACATGAGCACACAAAGGGAACATACAAATACCCTTCCAAAGAAAAGATGTCAAAATACTCTCAATCCGTCTAACAGTAGCTATCAAAAGAAGAAACATGAAGACCAGTAAACCTGTATGGAGAAAAGCACCGACTTGATCAACTGAAGCTAGCTTGCATAGGTCAAAGATGCCCAAGTCCATAACCTAATCTAGGACAAAATCCGCTCCAATAAAGGCCTACAATCAGAATGCCAAAGCCGAGTAGAGATCAAAGGATTAAACTTGTGATTTGGCATGTGTTACCTCAAGAAAAACATATAGTATCATTATAGTTAATGTAGAATTTGTGATCATTTTTAATAACAATATGTCAATATTTTATCATATGTTTTATATATATACTGTAATAAGATTACCAAAAATGAAAATAAATGTGAATTTTTTTTTTTTTTTGGTTGGGATAATGTGTATCTATTGTTTGTATTCTTAATATGTAGTCAAAGAAATTTTGATGATTTGATCAATTTTTATTCATATATTAATTATTATTAAAAGGAAGAAAAAATTAAGATTTATTTAATTGTTTCTTGCGTAGCATCTAATCTTTACCCAAAAACTTCCCAAGCTTTCGGTGACATGTTACAGAAGGCTGTGAACAACAAGAATCTGATAGGCGCGTGAGGAGAATATGCGAGAATCAGTAATTAGTAAATAATTTTCTATATTTTAGAAGTGAGATGAAATTTGAGTTGAAGTTATATAAAAATCGGTGGATGATATTTTAGAAGCTGATGTGGAAAGGATAAAGCAAGTTTGTTTATGAGCCAGGGTTAAGGCCGAGTTATAATAAACGGCCTTTGGTGATTCGAATAGCCCAAACTCAGTCTGATGTGTAACTCGTTCTAATCCATCCACCTGGACAATCCCATCCAATTGGAGGAACGTCACCAGGGTCCACGGTGGTGCGCTGCGCTGCCAGATTAAAATTCTTAAAACGAGATATTATTGTTTAATAATCAGGGTTTAATGTTGTTAATTGGAGAGTTGATTCGGGGAGATTTCTTTATAGAAATAAATAAATAGCAAATTGATAATCAGATTAATCCAACTGGAACAGTGACAACATAGTGACTGTGTGAATGGTGTTTTCATTCATGGAAATAGCATATTTCTTATTAAAAATAATTTAATTTAATAAGCTGCACATGAATCACATGATTTTATTGTTTATATTTGGTCAGCTATGTAATTGTTAGTAGTTATTTTAGTGTTAAAATAAATTTTTTAAATAGACCATAAAGTAATTAAGCAATGTGTTACGATTTTCATTTACAGACTTCATGCTTCTTAATTATTCTACTACTTTTATGATTAACATTTTTTCCAACTTTTACTGGTCAAAAGTTGCATACTCTACCACTTGACATATAGTCACGTAAAATAAGAATGAAGCCCAAATAGGCCCAACATTTTCAAAACTCAACAGCATTGTCAGGTGTACTGGAACCCAGATACTGTTTTTCATCAAGTTATGTTTATAATTTTACATCTATGATTGTAACCATCTTCATTCATCAATCAAACGTTGCAATAATACATTATACATCTATCTTTTTGCTTCGTCTTATAGCTTTTCTTAAGATATTCTTGATAATCAAACCACTTCAAAATTGACAAGAAATCACATTCAAATACCTCTTCTATAAGCTCTTGAAATTGCTTGGCTATCTTCACCATAATGCTGTCTTTCCTGCCACCCTTCTCATCCTTATTACATTAAAGCTTGCGCAGTAACTAGTAAGATATTTATATCATCTCTTCACAAATTGTTGAACTATTCTTACACGGTTCATTTAATTTGACTAACCACTATAAGCCCTTTGATGATTTGATCAGTGTAATACTGTAAGCAGATGGTCAATCATAGTATTCATACTGTTGCGTCCGTGAAGTAGTCAAGCTCTCGCTCGGCCTCTGCCCCGTCGCGGAATGCTTGCAAACAGTGAGAAGTTCTCAAGGAGATGTGCATGTGGGTTAGCTTATAAAATATTGTAGAGTAAAATCAAAGTCTTAATGGAGGAGGTTTTAAAATTGGAAAGTGAAAATGTGGAAAATGATGATGGAATTCAATATTGGTCCCACCTTGAGCAGTATAAACATGTGTTTTTCGCATTATCTACACACATACAAAAAAAAAAAAAAAAAAATTAAGAGCTCTTTAATTGCTTACTTTATCTCTAGTTTTATTTAAGGTTTTCCTTTGTTGGAGTTAAAACTTAATTCAGTTCATCGGAATAGAAAAGTTGTGCTTCTCTTAGTATTTATTTGTCGTTATATAATGAGAAACTGAAGCTACTCAAATCTTTGTACACTTGATTGAAGGAGGCGAATATGTGCTTGTTTCATTCAATGGCAACTATGCGACAGAGGTTGCGCCATAGTGATCGCCATAGAGGGCATTCAAGAGAGTAGTGAATTATAGCCAATATGCTTGCCTGGGAGAAACTCTGGGCAGTTGGCAAAAATAATGTCATTCTTCGTAAAGCATTCCTCAGTCGCTGATAATGATGATACTCGGGGCCGTAGTCAAATCGGAGGGACATGATAGTGGAGGAATTCAAACACAATTCTAACAATCAATCTCATGATTATAGAATACTGAATTTAAAGATAAAGAATTAAAAAAACTTGATTCTATCATGGCTTCTGCATTCCTTGAATTCCTTGTAAGTAGTGGCCGGTCTTCCTTTCCAGAAACGTTCCAGAATAACGACTTCCAAATGGGGTTCAACGTACCAGAATAACAACTTCCAAATGAGATTTAGCATACAATCACATTTTAGTAAATAAACCTAACCAATTTGTATCAATTTATTAGGTCCTCCGATTAAATGTCCAATAAACTCTAAAGCCCATTACAGGTCCAATCTCATACTTGTCGTCAAATCAAATTATTTAAAATGAAGTGTATTAGATAAATTTTAGAATGATCACATAAATCCATCAAATATATCATCCATCAAATATATCATTGGACTATGCATTTACCAATTTTATCAAACCAAATCACAATTAATGTTAACCCAGATTACGACATTTTCTAACAGATAAGGCCATGTTTTTGTGAGTGCTTGTGCAAAGCGCGATGCATGGGAGGCTCTACAAGGTGAAGTTGCCCCATAATCGGTAATGAAGTTGGGCTTGGGTCTATACTACTTTTTTATTAACATGTTTTTCATTTATAATTATTAAATTTTTTATATATTTATGAGCATATTATAGGTCGATTTTCAATTTGTATGAAGGGTTTATTCTTATACAAAATCAGATGCAGTCAATTTAATTTAACAAGGTAGACATAAAACACATGATTTTATAGTTTATATTTATTGATACTTGATTTTGACACCGACGACTTACACGTGCAAAGTACTAAGCGGACTTAGAAATCACATTTGATAAGGAAACATGAAATGAGACAATGAATGGGAATCGATATTTAAAGTGGTTCGGATGCTCAAAAGCAAAACCTACGTCCACTGCTATTGAATTAATAGATGGGTAAAATCAGGTCGCGTGTGACGAGTTGAGTTACAATCTAGAGGAAATACAGAGAGAGAGAGAGAAAGTGTGTAAGCTGTTTTAGACTAAGATCAACCAATCCCGTAAATAAGAGGGGTGTCCTCTATTTATAATGAGAGAGTTCAAGGTAATGATTACAAGTCTGCAAGTGGGTAAGTGTCGTGAAAATTCTTCTTTGCATCTCATTGGTTATCTGCACGAGAAATATCCTCAAATTGCGTAGGGCTTGGACAGGTGGATAATTCCTAACCACTCGCAAGTCTGACATTCACCTGTTACATTGATAAGAACCATACCTCTTCCATCACTATGCGACGTGGCAGCGTCTGAACGACACAAAATCTTCATGAATTTTGATTGGCTCTGGCTGACGAGAGTCTACATCAGCCCTAACTTATCGGGCATAACAATATTAATATTAATTCTAACTCGTGGGTCAGAATTAATCCCAACTTTTAAGCAAGTTCATGATGTATATTACTGGAGATCGTTAACACAGAGTTAATAACATTTTCATCCTTGAAGTTTGACAAAATATAATTAGGTACTGTATATCAGGAAAAGTCACTTCAATCCCTGTTACATTCTATTCTATTTGTTAAATGATGTAAGGGCTTTTTTGTCCTTCTAAACGAATAACTTAATGATGTAGCACACTTACAAGTGCAGGAGTGGGGAAGGGGTTGCTGGTTTTTTTTTTTTTAATCTATTATATTAATATTTTCTTAATTTATTTTATTTTATTATTGAATTTTAAGCACTGTAGTTAAAAATTTCATAAGTTATATGTGGAAAAAGATAAAAATAAGAGCTTTGGTCTGCACAGGCAATTATCTCTAATGTCATAAAACCTTAGAGACAAATTAATTTCCCCTGTTCTCAACTCATTATAGCAAATAATGTAGTACAACACAGTGGGGAAAACCCAAATTGCATGTTGGGCTGTCATCCAGATTGATTTTTCACAAGCCGTTTCCACTTATTTTAATGTGCACCAATGGAGTGTGTATGGAGATGGAAATAACCTGGAATAATTTGTGCTCTTTTGTTCTACCTGAAGAAAATGACTTGTATCTGTACACTAAAATTTCACCTCCACCATTTTTTCAAGCAGGTTATTACAACCAAAAACAGTCATTATCGCTGTACTAAATTTCTCAAACCGTTTTGTCAATAGATTTGAAAATTTATGTAGGAAGTATCATATTCCAGAATTTCGCAACTATCACCATTTTTTCTAGAGCGGCTGCTACTGAGCACGAAAAAGACAATCGTTCCATACATATATATATATATTTATATAATATATATATATTATATATATAATATATGTGTGTATGGGTCTCATCTCATTGATTATCAGAAACTTTGACCAGACTAATTTGGGCAGAGTGGCAGACCTATCCTCCCGGCAATCCTGCGTAGACCATGTTAGCAGTTCCCTGCGACTGCCTGCTAGGCCTTGCCAGTTTTAAAAGCTTCATATATCGTTGAACTTCAAAAAATAATATTGGTGATTGGTTCAATCCAATTGAATTTATAAGAATTCCAGAAGAGTCAGAGTCCCCTTGCCTCTACTCAAGGCAAGCAGACTTAGAATTGTTGATTTGAACCATAAATGATGAATTTGGACTTTATGTGGTCAGGCTTCAGTAAAGCTGTGGCATTCTATATTTAGGTCACTTTCCATGTCTGCCACTCCGTAGTTTCCAAGAGTGATACAAATACATATGAATGGATGGGATTTGTAAATGTTTATCCTAATACCATAACTAGTATATTATCTTCTCCAGAGATTCGTCCCCCGTGAAGCAAATTTGATCCGTCTCAAAGTCTTCACACTGCTCATTTTGTTAACTAGTCATGTGGGATAAATGATAGGCATAGCTGACCAACCATTAAAGGGAGATAGCTGTTCAAGAGACAACCCTAAACCATGTCAACATCTGGCCAACTAGTTGGAGAGAAGTCGTATCAAACAACGATCAACAACAACCTGCCACGTAAACCCAACCACAAAGAGGCAACTGTCCACATATCCCACTTCGGAACCTGCATGTGCGACCGCCGCCATATGATAAATATGTTGAAATGTTAGAACTTTTGTCAAAGATGTAGTTGTAAACCAATTTCAGTTTGGTCATAAAACCACTCTATCAAAAGCGTCCATGTGGTTCTCCTTTTCTTCCCCAATAACTATTTTTCTAATCTATGGAAAATCTCTTGTGGACCCATCCCGCAATACTGATCTAATAAAATCACTTCAATTTTAATGCATTGGTGAAAGAGCAACGGTTTCTGTAATTTTTGGTCAAACGTAGTCTGCAGAATGTGAAGGCATTTATGTTCTCTAGGAAAAGAGTATTGCGTGGAGTATGTGGGTGGTGGACATTGCTGTATGGGAATCCATATTTTAAAAGTATTCAACATTGACCAATCGATGATGATTCATCGAAGCTAATTTCTCGGTAGCCAACAGGAGAACCCCATCTGTAAAATTCAAGTTTCTAATCAATTAAATAATTCAAATTAGTTATCCTTTCTTATGTCTTCACTTGCAATTTCCCATTTGCTTTTGTTGTCTTTTGGTTTCTAATATTTTACTGCATTTATGGCTTATGCACGAGTGTGTATGTCATTCATGTGTGTATTTTTGACAGAAGAAAAGACACAAACAGGAGTTCGATATAAATAAGAATATTTAGTATAATCAACACTTCTGCACTTGTTTTCTCTCAGCCCATCAAGATTCTTAAAGAATCATCGATGGTTTCTAAGGTTACAGGTCGAGGGTGTATCATCAGAGTTGAAAAAAAGAAAGGAAAAAATCAAAAAAAGACAAAGGGTAGAAAACAAAAGTAAACAGAAAAAAAAAATAGAGGGAAGAAAAAGCCAAGTAAATACTATTGGATATGCTTTTTCTTCAATTTCCTCGTTTGTCTTCTACTCCTTTTCTAAGTACCTAATTAATATAGTCCAACAACCACATCAAATCACTCCAAGAAATTAATGTTGTTCAAATGTGGCGCGCGGCCAGAATCATCTAGCAACGTGATCCCCTCCTGCAATTAAGCGCACCAGAAGCGCCAGTTATGGAACCGACAAGCGAAGATGGCTTTGCGCCTAAGCTCGAAGCTCTAGCGTAGCTGGACGAGGCGCCTGCACCTGATGGCGTAAAAAAGGCACCATTTACCATCAGGTCACCCTCGGATCTCCAGTTCCAATTCTTCCATTCACTTTGTGGTGCATCTTCATACTTTGTAACCTGCATGAAATTATAAGCAAAATGTGTTAAATCTTGAACACAATTAGAGAATGGTTAGAACAGGGGGGTTGAGTGATGGAATTTAGGTCCATACTTCTTTACTGAATCTGTCATCAGGTGCAACAAATCTGTTTCCTTGACTATTAATGGTTGGTCCAGCACTTCCTCCAATGGCATACATTTCCCAATGAGTATAGTCATTGTTTACCACATGGAAATATCCATGTCTACATCTGAAAATTCGAAAACAGACAATATATTAGTGGGGAGAGATCACAATATCTAGAGACTATAATTATACACTTTTTTCTTCTTTTCGTTAAATTGATGATGATGATAATTACCTTGGCATTCTTTGGACAAGGCCTTCTCCAAAGTGGTTAAAGGCTATAGTGACTTGCATGTTCTTGTCTTGAGTGTAGGAATCACTGTGGCCCAGCAACATGACCTTATCATGGTGGGTCATGTAATTGTTCGAAATGGTGATGGCACTTGACCCGTGAATGGCATCAACGAGTCCATCTTGACAATTTGATAGAGAACAATGATCAACCCAGATGTGGGTTCCACCGAATATGGACACTCCATCACCGTCTGACACTGTTCTCCATCCGTAGTGCTTTGGGGAGTCCCTCACCATGGCATTTCCTCCTTGTTTACAGTCATGAATATGTAAACCATGAATTATAATATTAGTAACGAACTGTATAGTAATGCATGGACCACCGGCTATATGAACACTGGCACCTCGACCGTCAATTGTCTTGAAAGAGTTCATAATCAGTTCTTCCTTCAATTGAATGGTCATATCGCGAGCAAAAATGATCCACAACGGTTCATCTTGAATAACAGCATGCCTCAGGGTCCCTGGCTTCGGGTTGACTGGGTCTTGGTCGCTAGGATCAGTGACTACATAAATTTTACCGTCTCTGCCACCAACGGCATTCTTGCCGAAACCAATTGCGCAATCAGCTAGTCTCTGCCGGTTCTTCTCCCAGTTGGGGTCGCACCTCCAGCAATCGTCAATAGGATTTCCAGTTCCACAAGACAAATAACCCAAGTTCCTCCTGGACGCATTGAGTTTCCTGTATACCCCCAAAAAATGAAACACATTATTAGAAAATTTATATAATATAAACTACCATAAATGGAAATGGGGTTGTTAAAGAATTAGTAGTGGTGGAGCCATGGTGTTACAATATAAATATACCTGTGTACTTCTTGTACAACGGATTCCGGGTCTTGAACAGGGGAGGAGGAAATGAGAGCTGGGGACAGGAAGAGGAGACAGAAGAGGAAGAAACAGAGAGAAACAGAAGGGATAGACATTTTCAATTTCCCTCTTCTTCACTAGACAGTACTTAGTGAGAGTAAAGAGTAAAGAGTAATGAGGAAGACGAGAGAGTGGTGAGTGTGGGAAGAAATTAGAGGGGTATATATAAAGATGTTAAAGCCGGAGTAAAGGGCGTGATTAAACTAAACATGTGGGTCCTCTGTGCTTCGTGATTTCAGGTTTTACGGGATTCCACCAGTTAGGTAGTTTTGGTCGTTAAGCAAAGCATTTGAAGTCAAAATTTTACTACATGAAAAAATACCGCCATCATCCTCCTCCTCTGCTCTTTTTTCTAAGGCAGACTTAGCTGTCTGATGGATATTAGTTAGAACCTCCAACATACCGACCTTTTTACCTCAAAAGAAACGAAAAACGAATATAACATCAAAATTACAGTAATTAAGTTTCTAAGATAATTAATGATTAGTGTTTGTAATTAATTATGTTAATCTTCTGATCCACGCCAGGAATTCTTTGATTCATGTCATGCTCATGCATACCAAATCGAAAACGCCTATATTGATTTTGCTTCTTTGTAAATTTTAAATGGAGCTTGTTAAGCTATTATAATGATAAACACGAACAATATTGCCTTCTGTGAAACCATCGTGATGATGCAGCAGCTTTAATTGGTTGCTCCATTCTAATTAAGCCACGATTAAAACACTTAATTTGTTTTTGTTTTCTTAATTGGGGTTTTTTCAATTTAATCTAATCAGAAAGGACACAAGTTTTATAACACACAAAAAATAGAACATTCTTTTAATAAATTTATCATTTTTTGTGTGTATTTTTCTGATTAGTTTTTAAAAAAAAAATGTTTGCAAATTGATAAAACCCATTTTTTAATTCGTAAGCTATTATAATATACACCAAAATGGAATGATAAACATGGAACATTTGTAGCAAATTGATCATGCAGCATTTGCTACACGCCACGCACAAGATTCACTGTCTATTCAAGGATGAATTTTCTCTTTTTTTTTTTTTTTTTTTAGTATTATTAATGGAAATTAAAATAAAGATGAGTAATCTCTATTAGTCTTGATAAAAGAGCAAAAGAAGATTTTATGAGTTTTTAAGTTTGAATCTCTTCAAACATTAGTAGGAATAGTCATTGAGACTTACCTGATCGATAGTTTTAAAGTCTCGAAAGATTAGTTATAATATGCAAACTGAACCAAATAATTTAGACCGACAATTCTAAACCGCGAAAGATTCCGGTGATTAAAAAAGAAAAAAATAGAGAAGAAATTTGTGTGACAGACGCACATGCTTTTGCCCACTAAATCAAACAATGTAGGCCCAAATATTTTCTTAGCTTTGTTTTGTTTATTGTATGTGCTCTTCTTATCAAAAATTTACACCTGGAGAGGGAAGAAAAAGCCAAGTAAATACTATTGGATATGCTTTTTCTTCAATTTCCTCGTTTGTCTTCTACTCCTTTTCTAAGTACCTAATTAATAGTAGTCCAACAACACATCAAATCACTCCAAGAAATTAATGTTGTTCAAATGTGGCGGGCGGCCAGAATCATCTAGCAACGCGATCCCCTCCTGCAATTAAGCGCACCAGAAGCGCCAGTTATGGAACCGACAAGCGAAGACGGCTTTGCGCCTAAGCTCGAAGCTTTAGCGTAGCTGGACGAGGCGCCTGCACCTGATGGCGTAAAAAATGCACCATTTACCATCAGGTCACCCTCGGATCTCCAGTTCCAATTCTTCCATTCACTTTGTGGTGCATCTTCATACTTTGTAACCTGCATGAAATTATAAGCAAAATGTGTTAAATCTTGAACAGAATTAGAGAATGGTTAGAACAGAGAGGTTGAGTGATGGAATTTAGGTCCATACTTCTTTACTGAATCTGTCATCAGGTGCAACAAATCTGTTTCCTTGACTATTAATGGTTGGTCCAGCACTTCCTCCAATGGCATACATTTCCCAATGAGTATAGTCATTGTTTACCACATGGAAATATCCATGTCTACATCTGAAAATTCGAAAACAGACAATATATTAGTGGGGAGAGATCACAATATCTAGAGACTATAATTATACACTTTTTTCTTCTTTTCGTTAAATTGATGATGATGATAATTACCTTGGCATTCTTTGGACAAGGCCTTCTCCAAAGTGGTTAAAGGCTATAGTGACTTGCATGTTCTTGTCTTGAGTGTAGGAATCACTGTGGCCCAGCAACATGACCTTATCATGGTGGGTCATGTAATTGTTCGAAATGGTGATGGCACTTGACCCGTGAATGGCATCAACGAGTCCATCTTGACAATTTGATAGAGAACAATGATCAACCCAGATGTGGGTTCCACCGAATATGGACACTCCATCACCGTCTGACACTGTTCTCCATCCGTAGTGCTTTGGGGAGTCCCTCACCATGGCATTTCCTCCTTGTTTACAGTCATGAATATGTAAACCATGAATTATAATATTAGTAACGAACTGTATAGTAATGCATGGACCACCGGCTATATGAACACTGGCACCTCGACCGTCAATTGTCTTGAAAGAGTTCATAATCAGTTCTTCCTTCAATTGAATGGTCATATCGCGAGCAAAAATGATCCACAACGGTTCATCTTGAATAACAGCATGCCTCAGGGTCCCTGGCTTCGGGTTGACTGGGTCTTGGTCGCTAGGATCAGTGACTACATAAATTTTACCGTCTCTGCCACCAACGGCATTCTTGCCGAAACCAATTGCGCAATCAGCTAGTCTCTGCCGGTTCTTCTCCCAGTTGGGGTCGCACCTCCAGCAATCGTCAATAGGATTTCCAGTTCCACAAGACAAATAACCCAAGTTCCTCCTGGACGCATTGAGTTTCCTGTATACCCCCAAAAAATGAAACACATTATTAGAAAATTTATATAATATAAACTACCATAAATGGAAATGGGGTTGTTAAAGAATTAGTAGTGGTGGAGCCATGGTGTTACAATATAAATATACCTGTGTACTTCTTGTACAACGGATTCCGGGTCTTGAACAGGGGAGGAGGAAATGAGAGCTGGGGACAGGAAGAGGAGACAGAAGAGGAAGAAACAGAGAGAAACAGAAGGGATNTCTCTTCATTATAGCTAACCCTATCTGATCGTGTGATTAGAATGTCAGTTTAATAAGTCAGCTAATTACTTCTGGTTTTCACTTTAATTTCATTAATTATTTAAATATATTATTTGTTCATGCTCACTTTAACTCGCGAATTTTGTTTAATAAGTCAGAACAAGTATGGTTAGGACCATAAATATATATTACTTTGGACAATTTATTTAATTAATTAACTCATCTATACATTAGCGGAAACATGAATTAAGTCATTAATTTTAATTTTAATTAATTTACCTTATGAACAAAATTGGATAAATGCAGAAATGAACGGGGAATTTGCAAAATTCTCGGAAGTGGAAATATTTGTCTACACTTGCTCTTGACTATGATGACCTTTGTTGACTTTAGATTTGCAATGAGGCAGAAATTACGAGGCCCTTTGTTGACTTTCCCATGTTAATGCTTACCGCAGGTGACGTAGAGAAATTTTGACTTTTTTTTATTTTCGGCCTTAAATTTGTGATCAATTTTCATGGTCAACACATGCTGAGACTGATTAGGCCTAAGGTTGAGTGAGCCTTATTTTTATGGATCAAGCCCGAAATACTTGCCCATTTGACACCTCTATCAAGTCTTTGTTTCTTCACATACTTTGAAACATAAAGTATTGGCTATTATAGAACACTATACACGTTCATTTTATAAGATAATGATTTTTGGTTTTAAAATTTTATATTGATATATTGTTATAACATTTGTATTCATAATCTTAATTTCCCATTTTAAGTATATTAGGCTTTTGACTTTAGCGACACATGATTTATTAAAAAATAATACTATACTTATAAAATGTATATACAAAGTGACATGTCACATTGTAATAGAGAGAGTGAGTATGTAAAATCACAAACTAATTAAATAAAGACAAATAATATGACAGATAAGGGATAATGCTACTTCAAACTTTGTAAGAGTACCATACTCTTTGCTAAATTGAAGAATCACAAAATTATATCCATTAATATTTACAAGTGTGGGTAGTTGAGCAACGGGTAATTCAATATTTGTAATATCCTTTTGTTAATATACATGTGTGATGTGTCATAATATGAATTCATGTTAAATCCTTAAACATAAAAATAAAAGCTTAATTATTCTTTTGTATTATTATGATAAGATTAGTGCGTATTATTGTTATATTACAAACCTAACTAATGCATATGTATATGTGTGATGGTTTGCTTCTGAATTCATGTTTGCTCACTACCATGAATAACGAGTGATGCTCACATCATTTTTTTTATTATTATTATTTCAATCATATTATAGTTAAAATTTGTTAAGATGGGCCGATGGAAAGCCTGGTCCATATTTTAAAAGGAAACGTTATTAGTTGGAAAACCAAATCAAACCCAAACATGGTTGATGTAGTTGGTTAAGTGTTTGTATAAAAGCCTAAGTAAATGCACCAAATATGGTCGCGTTCCTCTACCCCATGAACAGTATGAGGTCCAACCCACCCTACCCTTATTTAAGGGACTTGTACTCGTTCCACCGACACCCTTTGTCTCTTCACAAAATTAATCCACTTAATTTTGGTTAAACAAAATCAGTCATTTTTTTTAATCACTCGTGAGTGTCTATATCATTTTATGAGAACCTCAATTAATCTTCCTAAGTATTGGAATTATCGGTTGGATAAGAGTTTTAATAGTCACCGTTATTAGTGCCTAAGGGGACTCAAACTCAAAAGTTCATGAAATTTCATTTTGCTCTTTTATCATCAGGTTACCCACTCGTAGACAACGTCTTGTGGTGCAACAAGGTTCAAGCGCGATAGAGCTCTCACCCTCTCCAGTGTCCCTTTCCAATGGACTTGGGCTGAGTCTGTCATTGAGAACGTTTCTCCGGACTACAATTCAAACATTGAGGGCGTCAGATTTTCAAGCTGGCTCTTCTCAGTTCGTTCACTGTTACTAAGAGAATCTTGGTACCCA